AATTTTAAATTCTTTACAGAGAATGGTTCTTAATGTTTTCAATTATAAATCGCGAGGGCATATAATCGTAGGGAAAACTCCGAGGGTTATTGAAAGAATGGTAACACCCAGCCTCGCGGAAAAAAATGTTCACCAACAGGAAAAGACTGTGAAAATAAGTTTAGTAGAACTAGCTTATTAAAGTTTGGTTTTCACAGGCTAAGGCGGCACCGAGAAACCTCATTTTATTTAATGCATAACTAATGAGTTACATAATGTATAAACAAGAGAGTTGCTAAACAAGCGCTATATGTTATACCGCGATTATCACCCTTGCATTGCACCCATGCAAGTGTATTTCAGAATTAGCAAAAATTGGGTCAAGGTCATTATCCTTGAAGCTATAAACCTTTATACAAAAGTGTTGAGTTTATTCCTGTGCCTTTGACTCAGGTCTCTCTAAAATCGTCTTGCTATTCATATTCTCAATCTTTTGGTTTATTTTCGATAATTATAATTCATATTCGTTAACTATTTTTTTTTATGCGAATCTTATTATTTTTATGCAAAATCTTTGTAATTTTTGTTTGAAAAGTTGACATAAATTTTACAGACAAAAGTTATTGTATTATATGTATTTATATGCCAAAAATTGTGATTCTTATTCGATTATTTTGCTACTTATATTCGATTATCTTGTGATTTATCTGCGAAAAGTTGATATTCATTTCAGTTTGAAAACAAACTTGTTATTAATTTATAAGCAAAAACTTGAAGATGAAAATGTCCAAAAAATAAAGGTGATGCAATGCAAGACAAGCAAAGAAAGAAAAAAGAAAACTCGATAGCAAAAAGCTACCTTAGTGAGACTTTAGTTTTCTAAATTGTGTATAAAATGGTATTGGGTGGGGGTGTCAATGATGAAATATTAATTGACATATGTAGTTTTGAATTTTGTAAGATTCTAAAATACTTTAAGACCTGCGTAAAAATTTAACAGTTCATTTTGTGATCCATATGCTGAATAAATGAATAAACGTATTCAAAGTACGGTTACCCCCCCCCCCCCAAAAAAAAATAATAAAATAAATTAAAAAAAATAAATAATTAAAATAGATAAAAAATAAAATTTATAAATAAATTTGAAAAATGCATATTTCAATATTCTGGTCCATAAAAATCTGCCAGACAATATACACGTACTTTTAATCAATCATGAATAGAAGTTGCTACGTTAAATTAGTTCCAAGTGAATCAAGAAGAGTTATAAAGATATAATTTATGTTTCATTAAAAATATAGCCATTAAGATTGACCTACGCTAAGAAATGCAAGAAATAACACAAGAAACAAAAGGGTTTTTAATGAAAAGAAATTACAATGTATACACATTAAAACATATCTTGCGAACATTGAAAAACATAGGACATGTATAGGTTTCGCACAAGTTGCAGTTAAACTATTGACAGATAAATGAATTGAGTAAATTAAGATGCATGACAAAGCTTCCATTAACAGATATATTTAAAGTCTACTTGTGAGGTAAAATTGACTTTTAACAATCCAGTGAGTCTTGCGTTCGATGCATATTTTAGACGTACTTTAGTTCATGAACATGGTGTTTTATATCTGCCTCCATTACAGTTGCCTGTAAATTCTTTAATGTGAATCATATTTAAATAGAACATTATCCCGAAGAAGAAAGAAAGATTTTTACATCTTAGAAAAATTTCAGGAATTTTTTTCAACGTAATAATGTCATATATGACATCATAAACGTACTGAAATTTTGATGTCTCTGTCTAAAACGCTGTACTTTGAATGCCAATCACCAAACTGATATCAGGATGATGAAAAAAGGAGTTCAAATCATATAAAGAAATCATTAAAGTTTGAACAACAGTTTGATACTCAGCGAGAATTAAATTAATTAGTGTTACAGTGATCTGAACTTTAAGCCCATAGCCATATATATACAATCTCTTTGTATACCAAAGAAAACATCATTTACAGCGCATTGTGAAAAACAAACCTTTTTCGAAGTAGACTCAACCAATAACATTGTAAAATAAAATAAGAAATACATTTATCATAAAAAAAATTTTGATTCAATTTTTCTGAATTTATCTAATCCTTCTAAATGTATTTATATAAGTCTGTCTTATACTATTTTGTAATAGGGAGAGATATCATAAAACATCCTGTATGTCATCCATGGAAGAATGGATGCTCATCTGCAATACAAAAAAAAAAAATGCATTTAATATGGGTGAATTCTAGTTTTGATTAATCCTTAGATTTAGCATCTTTAGCTTAATTTTTTTTTGAATATGTTGAATTATGCTATCGGGAGGCTTGTTTAAAAATGAAATATTGACTTTTATTACATTTTCAACAGTGAAATACTGTGATTTATTTATTGAATAAAAGTGATATTCTCTCACAGTGTGAAAGGATACCAAAATGATATTCTCTCACAGAGTGAAAGGATATCAAAGTAAGTAAAAAATAATTTCTGGACTGTCATAAGACAGAGATAGTAACTAACCATCTTGATAGAGCTAAAACTGCAAATTTCTTCCCAAATATGTTGCTAAAATCCATGCTAAGCAATGTTTTGTAATGTTTTTTACCTGGTAAGCTATGACGTCTCAATCGCTCAATTATGAAGTCAAGCCTATGACACTGTGTTAAGAAAAGACAGAGGCAAAGGCAAAATTAAAAAAAATGTAATAAACAGAAAATTCAATGTTTTGTAGATGAATATAGAATTTATTTCACTCGTGTGACAGGATTTTTTGATATTTTCACTCGTGCTTCGCACTCGTGAAAATATAAAAAAAAATCCTGTCCCACGAGTGAAATAAATTCCATATTTATCTATAAAACATTGAATATTTTCTATTTATTAAGTTTACCTAAGCGCAGACAGAAGTTGTAATAGAAATATCGTCAAGCGCTATATCACTCCTGTAGTCCGTTCCCTTTACAGCCTCAAACCTTATCTAAAAGTAATAAAACATTGCAGAAATATTAAGTGTAATACAAAACTCTTTAATTTCGGAAATAAAGTATCAAATTGTGTTACTAATGATAATTTACATGACTATATTAACTAAATACAGCTCACTAAATTCGAAATGCTATAATATAACCTAACCTGACTGCGAGGAAAACGGTCAAACTCTTGCCCCAAAGTAAAGGGGAAGACATGGAATAATGTTCCCCACTATCGAGGGACAACAGTTTGATTGTTTTGAAGTAGCAATGAAATAAGTTTTAAAAAGAATAAATTGTTTATTTTCATATGGTTACTGAGCAAAACTTATACACGTACATTTTCTGGAAGTTGGGGTAACTTTTCTTCATAAAATAACTTCAGCGCAAGCATTTATTGTTACTGACAGAGCTTAGTCAGCTTAATTATTTAAGTAACAGTACTACCGATGGAACTTATTCAGTCCAGTCATTAGTACGGACAGAGCTAAGTCAGCTTAATTATTTAAGTAACAGTACTTCCGATGGAACTTATTCAGTCCAGTCCAGTCATCAGTACGGACAGAGCTAAGTCAGCTTAATTATTTAAGTAACAGTACTACCGATGGAACTTATTCAGTCCAGTCATTAGTACGGACAGAGCTAAGTCAGCTTAATTATTTAAGTAACAGTAGTACCGATGGAACTTATTCAGTCCAGTCATCAGTACGGACAGAGCTAAGTCAGCTTAATTATTTAAGTAACCGTACTACCGATGGAACTTATTCAGTCCAGTCATCAGTACGGACAGAGCTAAGTCAACTTAATTATTTAAGTAACAGTACTACCGATGGAACTTATTCAGTCCAGTCATCAGTACGGACAGAGCTAAGTCAGCTTAATTATTTAAGTAACAGTAGTACCGATGGAACTTATTCAGTCCAGTCATTAGTAAGCACAGAGCTAAGTCAGCTTAATTATTTAAGTAACAGTACTACCGATGGAACTTACTCAGCCCAGTCATTACTACTGATAGAGCTAAGTCTCCCAGTCAATCCAGGTCAGTATAACACTGATACTTCTTATTTCAAAGCAATAAATTAAAGAAATGGGGTTAAAGAACATGTTTGTTTCCTTCATTTTTACCAGACATGGCCAGTATAACCGTAATGTGAACTTTTAGTCCACATATATATTTTATTTTTATACATCTGTGCATGGTATTTGAACCTGGATTTATTTATCTAAGATCATCGACATCGACCAAAAAGAAAAAGAAAAAAAAACATTGATAAAAATATATATATAAATCGATGCGCATGAAATTGATTAACAAATACTGTTCATCAATTCTTTTACGACATCTTATTTTGGCGAGGTATTTATTTGCTATTTATAAGCAAAACAAAATTTCCACGAAAATAATGCAAATATACACAAGAATGAAATTTTCGCGAGCAGACGGTTTTCGCATAACAAGAAGGAAATAAAGTTCTCACGAATACTGAGTAATTTACAATAACATAGTACGTTATAGTAGTCCATTGTATTTATACCTTGTAATTTGTTGTTGTTCCTATATTAATGGAGGCTTCGTTCCACTGGTTTCCCTGATTTCCTGATCTAGTCCATATCAAGTTTTCATTCTGTAAAACTTTAAGAGTTCCCATTCCAGTGCCATACATATGGTACCAGAACCTCAGACACCTGGATCCGCCTATTAGATTTATCACACAGGTATATCTTTCTTGTAAAGGCATATGAGAATACATGCAATAATTTGCTTTACTCCTATCATGATAAATAAATATTATTAAATTGCTCTTTAATACTCATTCCTGAAATTTAAATTAATGTTATACTTCTTAGCAGACCTTGATTAACCTACTTTTCTGAAAAATTAGTATCTTGACTTTCCGAAAATTAACATTGATTGGAACTCATTTTTTTTAAACGCATATTTGGAATTTTGGACTCTCTTTAAAAAAAAATTGACACCACTTTTCTATGTAAATGTAGACTTACCAGCAATATAGGGGGATTCGTAGTAAAATTTGTTCCCACTTGGTACAGGGGAAGACGTCTCTACATACAGATAGTTATTTCCATTTTTAGCGCTAGAGGGTCCTGTACCTCTTGACGGTGTTCTCCCCTGAAGGAGTACAGTTTTCATAAATACTGATTCATCACGTCTTTGGGATTTGTTTAATATGACTACTTTTTATGATTAATTTAAGAAGTCCTGAAATAATATAATATCAGAGTTCTATCAGTGTTAAAAATACCGAATTAATTTGCCAATCATAAGACTGAGGCCTAGAATTTTGAAGCATGCAATCTCCATTTTCAAAATCACAGGATATCGTGTTTGAAGCTGAAAAAGATGGGGAAAAAATATTTTAATTTGTAATAATATGTTGTCAGAAGCATCTTGGTATATTTGTATTACATTTGCGCTGTCTGAAAATCTAATTCACGTACTTTTAAAATAAATGTTCTTCGAAAGCTGTGATTATTCATTTAGATGAACAATATCGTTTATTCAAGTGAGGGGATAAAAAAAGACTTTGCACAATTTGATTTTGGCAAGAGTTTAACACGCATTCTCTGTAAGCACCAAAAAATCTGGAAACGACATGTCTCAGATTTTGATGAAATTTGCACTACAGGTGTGTCTTGGTACAAAACTAGCAAATATGGTTTCGGAAGTTCCACACGTGCACGCGGTTGCCATGGAGACGGATCCATTGAATTTGGCCCTTTTGGACCAAACGAAAACATGAAAATTGAGGAAATGTAAACAAATATTTATCGCTATCTAATACACTCTAACAAAAAATCATTGGATCATATGATAACATGAACTTTTAAGGTACACAGGGCATATAATCACTTATTCTAAAAATATTCCCACTCTAAGAAAAAGGTCATGCAAACTGACATGGTTTCTGAAAATTTGAAAAATGAGGAATTTAGTATTTTTTGGGATCTTTAAGTCTAAATAAGTAAAATTGTCCGTGGAAAATTTCCAAAACTTATGTGTGTTTTTATACTTGACAGTTACTAGTGTCATCTCATGAAAAAATATCGGTGGGCTTTTAATCCTATTTTTAGTAACATGTATCTATAAATAGATAGATTTTAGAAAAATGTAAAAAATCAAATTTTGGCAAAGTTTTAGATGTCATTGCGGGATAAATAGGACGTATATTGTAAAATTTAAGATATTAATGACAGCAGCTGGACACCCCTAGCTGGAGTGGACAATGGTTGAGGGGTATTCCTATTTCTATTTATAGTATCAAGCACCTAAATATAGATATGTCTCTGAATATTAGGAAAAACGACAGTTTTATGCTAATTGGAAGCTTCATAGAAAAAGTATTAACAAATATAAAGCTCTCTACAATATGCCTTCATAAAGAACAAGTGTTTGTACAATAATTGATACAATATTGAGGGTCGACTCTTGTTTCCTATTATAGCAACAAAGGTCTAAAATAGATTCCTCGAATAATCGAGAAAATGTAGATTCTTGCATTTTCTCAGGTAATGTCGGATGGAAAAAATGCAGACTAATTGTTATAAACATAGTGTGACTGACAAGTACTGGAAACCATTTACTGAAATACACACTATCTGAAGGGGGTTCCCTTTTCTATTTATAGCACCAACACCCATATATATAAACATCTCAGCATATGAGGAAAATTGACAATTTTCCACCAGTTGTAAGCTTCATTGAAAAAAGTATTTACAAAATATACTACTGTCTACAATATGTCATGAACAAGAACATTTGAGCAATTGATAATTAAAAAATATAGAAGATGGACTCTCTTTTCTTTTTATAGCAACAGTTGTCTAAAAATAGATGCAGTGAGTTATTTAGAAAATATACATTCTTGCACTATTTTAAACATTATGGATTGAAAATTTGAATACTCTCTATCATAAACATAATATGACTAACAAGTACTAGAAACCAATGACTGAAATGCAAAATGTTTCAAGGGAATTCCCATTTCTATTTATAGCACAAAAAATAAAAACTATGATATGATTTAGTATATGAGGTAAAATAAAAAAAATGTCCACATACATACATGTATTATTGAAGGTAGGCTCACAATTCTTTTTTAGCAAGAATTGTCTAAAAATAGATGCTGTAAATTTGCACTATTTGAGATATCATGGATGGAAAATTTGCAGACTAACTGAATGTTGAAAACATAATGTGACTGACAAGTACCTGTACTAGTTACCATTTACTGACAAGCACAAAAACAATGAGGATTTTCAGTTCTATTTATAACTGAAATACACAAAATCAATGAGGATTTCCACTTCTATTTATAGCAACAAAATTATACAAGAGACCAGAGGGCTTTAACAGTCATCTGATAACAACCCTGTAACGGATCAATGAAACGGCAATTTAACAAGAGACCAGGGCCAGTATCGCTCTCCTGATAAATTTTACAACTATATCACTTCTATTCTAAGCTTCTTAGTATCTTATATATTTAGGTAAAGCCTAGAAATCCCAAAAGTAGCTCTGTGACCTACTTTTGGATTACAACTCTGTGAAGTTAATGATTGTAAGCCAAAATTAATTCACTGTGACCTACTTTTAGGTTAACATAGTCCGTGATCCCAAATGCATAAAATGAGAAAATTGGTGATTATTAGCCTTTTACTATTTCAAATATTTAGATATTTCCTTAAAACTACAAGTGACCTACTTTTGTTTGACTCATCCCGACGACTAAAGATGCATAACCTGACAAAGTTTGATGAATCTAAGCCAATTGGTCTCTGAAATATTTAAATATCGTCAAGAAATTCTAAAAGTAGGTAACGGTGATCTACCTTTTAGTTGATACATTCTGAGGACTCGGGATGCATCAACTGACGTTTGATGATTTTAAGTTTCACAGTGTCCAAAATATGCCTCTAAAATGATTTGAAAATAAATACCAGCAAAATTCAAATGCATCAACTTACAAGGTTTAACAGTATCTAAAATAATGACAGTATTTTTTTTTTTAAATGATTACCATACAAGTCAGAAAGTAGGTCACGGTGACTTAATTTTCTACTCTTTTGTTGACACATTTTAAAGCCACCTGATACATCGACTGGTAGGTTTTGATGATTAGAGGCTTCAAAGTGCCCGAGATATGCATCAAAATCAATTGAAAGATGAATACCTGCAAAATTCAAAAAAGGTCATCATGACCTACTTTTGAGTCAACTTGACATGAGGTCCTAAGATGCATGAATTGAAAAAAAAATTTGTAATTCCAGTCATTATATTGGGCAATATAATAATGCCCCAGGGTTATACCTTTAACAATTTATTTTTAATCTACAATATATTTTCATCCATGTTAGCATAAAATTAAAGTTTGGTGATAATCTGCCCAGTAGTTCTTCTCTTGTCTGTCGTCCGTCCGTTTGTCAGTCCGTCTGTTTAGCTGTTTGTCCGTCCGTCTGTAACCTTTTCACATTTTCAACTTCTACACTGTACATGTAGTTCTACCGGTATATACTTATAACAAAGGAAGAGGCAAGAGGCACCTTGACATGAAACATTGGAACAGCATTCTGTAGAATAATGATCCTTGGTTTAGTCTCTTTTTGTGGCAAGAATTATTGCAATCAGACTATAAATCTGTAGGAGGAGCAGCCTTTAGAAAAATATACAGAATTTTTTATGTTTAGTAAATTATGTGTAGTCTACTTGCATGTTATAAGAAAATCAGACCAAAACTGTAGGAGGGGTAGCATTTTGAAAATATTTAACAGAATTTTTTATTTTTATTAAACATGGCAGCACTGTTCATCGAAATCAAAAACCAATTAATAGAATTGTATATATCTTAGTGTAATTTACTTGTGTGCTAGGTTATATTGAAATCAAACCAAAACAGTAGGAGGAGCAGCGTTTTGAAAGTGTTTTAAAGAAATTTCTATTTTTAGTAACCATGGCAACACCGTTCATCGAAATCAAATACTGATAAATAGAATTATGTATCTTAAAGTAGTCTACTTGTGTGCCAAGTTATATTGAAATCAGACCAAACTGTAAGAAAAATTGTTCACTGATAGACGGACAGACATATGGACAGACGACGGACACCTTACTATCGTCAACTTCCCTTACTTATGCAGCAATATACCTTCATCACCTGCATACGGGGTATATATCTCTCAGTTGATTCGATACCGTGAGCATGCTCTACGTATGTACAATTTCTAAAACAAGGTAAATTACTGACAAACAAGTTGATGAAACAAGAATATCAGCTGTCTCGTTTAAAGTCATCATTTCGTAAGTTCTATGGTCGATACAATGACCTTGTCAGCAAATACAATTTATCATTGAGTCAAATGCTGACTGACGTTTTTATACTAATTGTTAGGCCATTATTTACACACTGAATTGGTGACGGATTTTTCCGTTATTTCCCGATCATGACAAGGGGCACATGGCGGGTGTGACCGGTCGGCAGGGGATGCTCACTCCTCCATGGCACCTGATCCCACCTCTGATGTTTGGAGGTCCGTGTTTGCTCTGCTCCTATTTTGTATTGTTTAATGGACTTTTGAGCTTGAATACTGTTCGTTATCTCCATATATTTCGCATAAGCTCTCCTGGTCTCTGACCAATTGACCTAATGAGAATGAGCATGAGAATTTAAACGGTTGAGAAAGCATCAGTTTCTGACCACAATTTCATTAAAAAAATACATGGCTAAATTTGTATTTAAACTGTACTTTCTTCTTTGCCCTTAACAATATTTGATATAGTGCAAGAATCTACATTTTTTCTGTAATTCACAGCACCTCTTTTCAGACAAATATAGCTGTAAAAAGAATTGAGAACCTACCTTCAATAATATACAAAGTGTTGTCTAACCACATGTTCTTGATGTTAACAGATTGTAGAGTTCAGTTTATTTGTAAACACGTTTTCTATGAAGTTTCTGATTGGTGGAAAATTATCTTTAATGTCTGAAATAGTGCAAGAATCTACATCTTCTTGATAATTCAGGGTTTCTAATTTTAGAAAATTGTTGCCAAAAAAAAAATGAAAGTAAATGTTCATGACATATTGTATACAGTTGTATTATTTTGTAAATATCTTTTAAGATGAAGGTTATTATTGGTGGAACTTTGTCATTTTTTCTCATATGCTAAGACAGAATTTTTGTTAGGTGTTTGGTGCTATAAATAGAAAAAGAAACCTCATTCAAATAGTGTACATTTCAGTAAATTGTCACTAGTGCTTGTCAATCACATAATGGTTATAACAGTAACTGTTAGGATGCAAAGTTTTCATCTGTTATGTGTGAAATAATGCAATAATTTACATATTCTAAATAACTCACAACATTTTGATATTTTTTGACAATTATTGCTATTATAAAAAAGAGAGTTCACCCCTAAAATAGTGTCAAAATAAATAGTTTTAAAATATTGACTATCTGTTCTTGTTTATGACATATTGTAGAGAGCAGTTTATTTTGTTAATATTTTTTTCTGTGAGGGTTCTTACTGGGAAATTGTTATTTATTCTCATATATTGAGATATGTAATTTTTAAGGTGTTTGATTCTATAAATAGAAATAGGAACCCCCTTCAAATATGGGCATTACAGTGAATGGTCACTAGTACTTGTCAGATCCTGTTGTTAAAATATTGTAGATAGCAATATGTTTGTAAATATTTTTTATGAATCTTCCAGTATGTGCCTCAATATATATACCTCAATATACTAAGAGAGATCTAATTTTTTTTTTTAATTTTTGTGCTAAAAATAGAAATGGGAATCCCCTTGAAACATTTTGCATTTCAGTCATTGGTTTCTAGTACTTGTCAGTCACATTATGTTTATAATAGAGAGTATTAAAGGTGCTTAGACACAGATTTGAACTTAATATTTATTCAAATTTTCTGTATAATATCACGACTTATATATTGCAATAGCATTTCACACGAAAATATAATTAAAAACTTATTTTATCTGGAAATTATTGGAACTACGAATTCCTGGACGCGTTTGATTAACACATCCTTGCACTTACACAAATTTTAACTTTATCCTTAATATTTAAGAAAAGAAGCGATTTTGCTATGTATTAATGAAAAATATTACATCTATAATCCAGAAAATTCAGAGTAGAAATGTTCGAAAGTAAAACCAAATCACCAGTATTGTCAGTCCGTGCTCTGTGATGTGTACAAAGTTTAACAAATTGAACACACCCGTGAAACGTAAACTGTTTTTGTAAACAGGGCACGAGCTCTGTTATTGTTAATGTTTACGATTCACCGAGTGTGTTCAATTGTTAAACTCTGCACACACCACTGAGCACGGACTTACAATACTGTGAGTGGGTTTTGCTTTCGAACATTTCTACTCTGAAATTTCTGGATTATACTTTTACTATTTTTCATTAATACACAACAAAATTGCCACTTTTCTTAAGTATTAAGAATAAAATTAAAATATGTGAAAGCGCAAGGATGTGTCAATCAAACGCGTCCAGAAATTCGGAGTTTTAATAACTTCGAGATGAAATAAGATTTTTATTATATTTTAGTATGAAATGCTATAGCAACATATAAGTCATGCAATTACACAGAAAATTTGAGAAAATATTAACTTCAAATCTGTGTCCAAGCACCTTTAAAATTTTCAATCCATGATGTCTCTAAATTAGTGCAATGTATCTTTTCTAAATAGCTCACTGCATCTATTTTTAGACAACTGTTGCTATGAAAAGTCCATCTTCAATATGGTGTCAATTATTAATTACTCAAATGTTCTTGTTCATGAAATCTTGTAGACAGCAGTATATTTTGTAAATACTTTTTCAATGAAGCTTACAACTGGTGGAAAATTGTCATTTTCCTCATATGCTGAGATGTTTCTATTTATGGGTGTTTGGTGCTATAAATAGAAAAGGGAACCCCCTTCAGATAGTGTGTATTTCAGTAAATGGTTTCCAGTACTTGTCAGTTACAATATGTTTATAACAATTAGTCTGCATTTTTTCCATCCGACATTACCTGAGAAAATGCAAGAATCTACATTTTCTCGATTATTCGAGGAATCTATTTTTAGACCATTGTTGCTATAATAGGAAACAAGAGTCGACCCTCAATATTGTATCAATTATTGTACAAACACTTGTTCTTTATGAAGGCATATTGTAGAGAGCTTTATATTTGTTAATACTTTTTCTATGAAGCTTCCAATTAGCATAAAACTGTCATTTTTCCTAATATTCAGAGACATATCTATATTTAGGTGCTTGATACTATAAATAGAAATAGGAATACCCCTCAACCATTGTCCACTCCAGCTAGAGGTGTCCAGCTGCTGTCATTAATATCTTAAATTTTACAATATATGTCCTTTTTATCCAGCAATGACATCTAAAACTTTGCCAAAATTTGATTTTTTTTACATTTTTCTAAAATCTATCTATTTACAGATACATGCTACTAAAAATAGGATTAAAAGCCCACCAATATTTTTTCATGAGATGACACTTCATATTCTCAAGTATAAAAAAACACATATGTTTTGGAAATTTCCCACGGACAATTTTTCTTATATAGCCTTAAAGATCTTTAAAAAATACTAATTTTCCCACTTTTCAAATTTTCAGAAACCATCTCAGTTTGCATGACCTTTTTCCTAAAGTGGGAATATTTTTAGAATAAATGATTATATGGCCTGTGTATCTTAAAAGTTCATGTTATCATATGATCCAATGATTTTTGTTAGAGTGTATTAGATACAGAAAAATATTCGTTTACATTTCCTCAATTTTCATGTTTTCGCTTGGTCAAAAAGGGTCAAAAATGGCCAAATTCAATGGATCCGTCTCCATGGCAACCGAGTGCACGTGTGGATCTTCCGACACCATATTTGCTAGTTTTGTACCAAGACACACCTGTAGTGCAAATTTCATCAAAATCCGAGACATGTCATTTCCAAGCCCTATAGTAAATTTGTTGGTGCTTACAGAGAATGCATGTAAAAATCTTAACTATTTTTCATCATTATAGCTTTACTTTGCCTCAAAATTAAGTCTTTCTGTAAGATATAGGTATCGGTTAATATTCTTAAAAATTGCAAATGACATCTGAAAAGAAATGTAATATGAGATAATTTAAAAGAAAATTCCTGAAATTAAATTTCTATTCTTTGCCCCAAAATATTACATCTGGTGAAATCTGTGAACCTTACTTAATCTTCATGCCACAAAACCTGAACGCAAATCAGCATTTTAAAAAATTCCAGATATGACCATAGTTAGTGTCAATACCGTAATCGCTAGTTTTATTACCCGGAATGTTTGCCGATTTTGGTATAAAAACGAGTTGAAATATCGACGCTTTGTATTCTGTGGATTTTTTTTTTATACTCTTAATACTAACTCTGTAAACATTACAGAAATGTTTGCACTTTATTTTTTGGCGAGTTTAAATAAATTTACTTATTTTATTTATTTATTTTTTTTGGGGGGGGGGGGGAAGTCCAAGGGGGTGATAAAGACGGAAGAAAATAATCACAGAAGAAAAGACACAACAAACCTTCAAATACCAGGCAAGAAGCTAAAACCTTTGTCTACACAATGGAGGAAATATTCAAATACCAGGCAGGAAGGTCAAACCTCTGTCTACACAATGGAGGAAATATTCAAATACCAGGCAGGAAGGTCAAACCTTTGTCTACACAATGGAGGAAATATTCAAATACCAGGCAGGAAGGTCAAACCTTTGTCTACACAATGGGGGAAATATTCAAATACCAGGCAGGAAGGTAAAACCTTTGTCTACACAATGGAGGAAATATTCAAATACCAGGCAAGAAGGTCAAACCTTTGTCTACACAATGGAGGAAATATTCAAATACCAGGCAGGAAGGTCAAACCTTTGTCTACACAATGGGGGAAATATTCAAATACAAGGCAGGAAGGTAAAACCTTTGTCTACATAATGGAGGAAATATTCAAATACCAGGCAGGAAGGTCAAACCTTTGTCTACACAATGGAGGAAATATTTAAATACCAGACAGGAAGGTCAAACCTTTGTCTACACAATGGAGGAAATATTCAAATACCAGAAAGCAAGGCAAAACCTTTGTCTACACAATGGAGGAAATATTCAAATACCAGGCAGGAAGGTCAAACCTTTGTCTACACAATGGAGGAAATATTCAAATACCAGGCAGGAAGGTAAAACCTTTGTCTACACAGTGGAGGAAATATTCAAATACCAGAAAGCAAGGCAAAACCTTTGTCTAAAAAATGGAGGAAATATTCAAATACCAGGCAGGAAGGTAAAACCTTTGTCTACACAATGAAGAAAATAATCAAATACCAGGCAGGAAGGTAAAACCTTTGTCTACACAGTGGAGGAAATATTCAAATACCAGAAAGCAAGGCAAAACCTTTGTCTACACAGTGGAGGAAATATTCAAATACCAGAAAGCAAGGCAAAACCTTTGTCTAAAAAATGGAGGAAATATTCAAATACCAAGCAGGAAGGTCAAACCTTTGTCTACACAATGGAGGAAATATTCAAATACCAGAAAGCAAGGTAAAACCTGTGTCTAAAAAATGGAGGAAATATTCAAATACCAGACAGGAAAGTGAAACCTTTGTTTAAACAATGGAGAAAATATTCAAATACCAGGCAGGAAGGTGAAACGTTTATCTAAACAATGGAGAAAATATTCAAATACAAGGCAGGAAGGTAAAAACCTTTGTCTTAACAATGGAGAAAATATTCATGTGTATGAGCAAAGAGAATCAAAATGTTTTTTTAATATAATCATGCACAACTGTACCATCAATTGTATCACAGAGCCTCCCTGTGTAACCGCTATTACAGGAACAAGAAAAGTCATCATTTCCGACGTCATTACAAGTTCCATATACACAGGGCGCAGCCGCGCAACCTACAAACATAACAGAAAGGTACAACCAGAAAATCAAGCTGAAGGGAGTAAATAATTATTAACAATTCCTGGTAAGTTAATTTGAAGAAATTTCAAGACAAATTAAAAAAAAGGAATTTCTTGGGACATATGCATTTTAAGTCTGTTCTTTCTATAGCTGTAGGAAAATATTTTGTTGAAAGGTTTCTTAAATCAAAACTTCAGTCCGATAGCAACATAAATAGACTTTTCCTTTGATGTTGACATACCATTTTGATTAAGATTAGAGAGATGTTTTTAACGTGTCCTCCTTTTTCGATTGACTTTAAATTAGTCATAAATTATTTTTTAATAAGAGAGAATTGTGACCAAAACAAATTTCACTATGAATTTTTCATTGGAATTCAGTTAAGACAAGAATGAATACTAAAAAAAAAATTAACCTAAAATACTTTTATGCACAATTATTTCATGCACATTTTTGGCTACTGAAGAATAGATATGGAT